AACCAATCAATAACTCTGCACCCCCCCACCCCCCAGTGGCACAGCGGTATGTCTGCAGACTTACAAGGTTAGCATCCGGGTTTCGACACCCGTGTTGGGCAGAGCACACAGATAACCCAATTACAAACAAACAATCATAACTCTGTAATATTTTATAACTAGGCATTATTTTTATAGCTGAGCAATAATTAAAACAATTGAAATTTCCATAAAAATGATGTTTCAGATTTAACCAATAAAAATTACAAAAAAACGGAGTAAGTTTCAAATATATAAAACAATCTAAAACAAAATTTTTAAACATTATTTGTTTTCTTTAGTGAAAATCTCATGCGTGTTGCAACAGAAAAGCAAGACACTTTCATTCATAACTGCATCTACAAAGAAATACTTCAATAAAGTCTACTCTGTGATGATAGTTCATTTTTTAAACTAAAAATTTCAATAACATCATTTTTCTCATGGATGGTGAACGTTATTGAATGTCAAGTACGAGTACATTGTTGTAGAATTGTCAGACAATTCCAGAAAAGGTTGCAGGCCCAATAGCCTTCCGCAGGAACTAGCAGTTATACCTGACCGGAGGGCGGCTATTTCTGTTAGTATTCATAATGTTATCGTGCAATATATAGTTGTGGATTCACTAACGTTTCTGTTCGTGAATTATTTCATTCAGTCTTCGTTATTGTTGTTGTTTCTAGCATCAGTGCTTCAATTTATTTTATTACAACTTTACATAAATGTCAGTTAAATAACAAACGTCACATTAGTCTCTTGAGTAACTTTTTAGCATAGGGAACAAAAAGTGTATTAATAAAATCACAATTTATAACGCTATTCTACTGTTTAAGGGCATTAAGAACTTAGTCCCGAAGCACTGTATAACTTAAGCATTCCCGTTTGTTTTCACTCAGTGGCTCTTGATTTATCATCCTTAATGCAAAGAATAGATCAACTTAATATACGTGAGCTCTCTGGGAAAACAACAAATCAATATTCGAGTTGTAAATTGATCAACTGACAATAAGAAAAGAAACAATAGGTGTTTTAAAAGTAAGTTTTCTGTATATATATATATACATATA